AAACTTTTTTCGAGTGTCAGAATTATGTTGAGCTCAAGCGCTTTTGTTTTCGATACACTTGCCAAAACGGGTATTATGATTCGAGCATGAAGTGTGTAAGGCTGCAAGCCGAAAGATATAAGTAGTTTATCAATGCGACCTGTGATACATGTGGCAGATATAGTTTATCAATGAGACCTGTGATTCAGTCAGTATTCAGATTGCTATCACCATAATTGTGTAGGGACATCTATCACAGAGTATCTACTCTTCGAGCACTTTTACGGACAACTGTTCTCTCTTGCTGTTTGCTTTGATTTGGCTCATTCTTGGCGCGTCATGGGTGGGGTCTTAATGACCTTACATAACCGTCGAAATAACCCCGCCCCGTTGGCCACATTCACAACGCGAACTCGAACTCGGAGTCGAACTCGAGTGCCTGTGAGTCACTTAGTGGCCACTTGGAAGCTGCTGCCACAATATTTGAGCTGATTATGGCCGCAAACAAAATGTCAATGGCCAAAACTTAAACCATTTTGGCCATGCTCAGACCACGCAGCAGCTATTTATATTTATTTATATTTATATTTATATTTATTTACATTTATTTTTATTTAATTAACTGATGCAGTTCAGTTGGGGATCCGCTTCCTGTTGCTTTTGGCCACTTTCGTGCCGCTTTCCAATTGCATTTAAAACCAATTATCAAATCATGTCGCTGCTGGCTGACAAACTCATTTATTTAGCTTACAACGCTCAAAACTGCCAGACATGGGGCATGCACACACATAACACACACACAACACACACAGCACACACACACACAACATGCACACACTAATCAAGTCCAAGTCCAAGTGCAAGTCAAGTCCCAATTTTGCTTTCGTTTTTCAACCACAACTGAGATATTATAAGTATATTTTTTTTCTCTGGGAGTCTGAGAGATCCACACAAGCTGTCAAACTGTCGCCAGGGCCTGAAATTGTCATTATTCAGTGTCAGGAGAAATAGTTGAGGTTGATTTTAGGGGAGGGGAGACGCGTTTCCAACTAATTTTAATGTGTGAAAATTAAGTTTTATTTGGGCATGTCTTTAGTTTTTCCTCTGGGAGATTGGCTCGACCTGAGCTGCCTACCAATTAGCTGGTTTATATGGCCTAAAGCCATGAGAACCTGTCGAGTGTTAATTAAATAACCAATACCCTAGGCGGGCCAAAGCCAATAACTAGGCATTTTAACGGTCTGTATACCCTGTAGCTATATTAAAGTGGTAGAGAATAACAAGAATACCCTTACAAGTTGGAATTATATATTTCTATACTTGACCAACCAACGATTCGGGAGAAGTAACTTAATACCAGGTCGATTCTAGGGCATATATGATGGACTACAATGAACTACTATGGTCGGAAATTGGGAAGATTTGGATATTCTTGGCAGCTCAGTTTAGTTGTCATCTTAAACAACAATAACCTTTCATGCAAGAAGGCAATTATTGATCGTTAGCTCTAATGATTAATATCTATTTGATATAGTGACTCGATCCGGTCTTTATAGAACCTTGCATAGCTGTCTGCAACAAATGGGAAGTTTCATCAGTTAAGTCATCAAGAATGTATATACTTTATGGAGGCTACAAAAGAGGTAACTTGAGCAGTAGAGTCGCCTCTGTCCGCCTCTTTATTCGGATGACAGGGTATCTCTTGCTGCTTACTTGTTTTTATTTCGCGCCAATGCAACTGAAATACAATCGGCATAAATCATGTGGCAAGCGCCACAAAATACACGGCGACATATTAAATTTACAAGCTGATTTTGATTTATGCGCGTAATGCATATAAATATGTATTTATTTTTGTTGTTGTTGTTGTTGTTGCTGTTGTTGTTGCTGTCAAGTCGTCTCGACGCTAACTCAATTTAACTCGCGTCGTAGTTGTTTCTTGCCCCTCTCTTCTTCCCATCTCTCTCTCTCTCTCTCCCTCTCTTTTTGTCCTCTGCTAGCTTTTTGTCTCATTTTCGCTTTGCCCACGCAATTTGCGGTGCGCGTCACCGTCAATTGCAATTAAGGCCCCCAAAAAGCTGTCATACCCTAACATAGAGTATATTAATATACCAAAGGCAGTGTGTGAAGCATCTTTATGAAGAGCATTATAAATGTAAATCTCAAACGAGACCTTTGAGTTGATAGTTATTAATAGAGTTATTAATATAGAGACAATATATTCGACAATATCGATTGAATCATGGATATTGTAAATCAAAATACATTTTTATTTCCTCAATTTTCTTTTTCTAGAATTGTAAATCAATTTCTTATTATTAACTTTTTATTTTATTAATAGTTATATTAATGTTCCCTATACTTAGCATCAGCATTACCATCAGCATTAGCATTAGCATTAGCATTAGCATTAGCATTATCATTATCATTATCATTATCATTATCATTATCATTATCATTATCATTATCATTATCATTATCATTATCATTATCATTATCATTATCATTATCATTATCATTATCATTATCATTATCATTATCATTATCATTATCATTATCATTATCATTATCATTATCATTATCATTATCATTATCATTATCATTATCATTATCATTATCATTATCATTATCATTATCATTATCATTATCATTATCATTATCATTATCATTATCATTATCATTATCATTATCATTATCATTATCATTATCATTATCATTATCATTATCATTATCATTATCATTATCATTATCATTATCATTATCATTATCATTATCATTATCATTATCATTATCATTATCATTATCATTATCATTATCATTATCATTATCATTATCATTATCATTATCATTATCATTATCATTATCATTATCATTATCATTATCATTATAATTATCACTCAGACCCTGTTCCTCCTTGGTCGGTCACTTGCATTGCTTGATATGTCATGTTAAATACCTTTAAGCAGGAACTGGAATCCCTAAAATGAATATCGTCAACTGTTCGCTCTTGCAGAATAAACTTGCACAGTTTTTAGGTGCAGCATAATCCGACTAATATCTTTATAATCCATGGCATCGGGTTCAAATGAGACTCTATAAAAAGTTAAAAACTGAAAGTTCTTATAATTATCCATGACAAGTGCTGTTTGTGCATTCGCGTAGAACTTCTTCGAGTGCTCGGTACTTGTGCGGTTGGTGGGCGTTAAAAAACGGGCTGTAGATACTTTCTATGCCGTTGCCTGTCAGTGCAAATGACAAACAGACTGAAGAGACAGACGAGCTGAGAGACAACGACAGCTCCATTAATTAAAACAAAAATTAGTGGTTTTGTATTGCGCAGGGCGGACGATGAGGATGAGGAGTAGGATTGGCAGAACGTTGGGCAGGAGGCAGCGCCATTCCGGCAAGCCCATTCAAAATGCTGCAATTAGCGGCGAGCGTGTAAATCTTTTAGCTGGCAATTTGATAAGTCCACATAACTTGACCCACTTTCAGCAACGCTGATGAAGTCCGCCACGCCAGCTGCCATCTGCAGCTTCGACACTGACTCGGGTTCTGGCCAACAAAAAAATAAATCCATTTTTTAAGCGCATTTTCCTTTCCCTTTGCCATCTTCTCTGGTCAATTTGTGGCGATTTGTGTAAATGTCTGTGCATTTAATTTTAAATTTATCATTTAACTTGTAAGTTAATCTTTAATTCAAATTCAAGCTTAAGTGCAGCTTAGCTTAACTTTAGATAAAATATGCAACTGTAAATGAGTCTCCTGCGTAGAACTGTTGAGAATTGCTTTGCTCCGAGCATTTTTTTTCCATAACTCTTGACCACAATTTGCCCGCTGAGGCCCTTAACTCGTTCAGAGGGTGGGGCAGGGGTGGCAATCAAACAAGTTGCGACCACAACAGTCAGCGGAAAATTAAAAAAAAATATATATATACACACATATGTAAAGCTTTACACTTTTTATGCATATGAACAAAGTAAGCTAAAAGTCAAAAGGGCATATGTAAATAAATGAATGCACAGTTGACAGTTGGAATTAATTGAATCGGCTAACATATTGCTTGGCCAGCGTCGCGACATTGCCAATTTGTTGTTGTTAAATCAATTTGTATAGCAAACATACAGGGCAACGCAAAATAAATCAATTAACAATTTAAATCAATTCAATTTAAAGCTTAAGCAATGCATAAAACGATTTCATTTGTTGTGTCAATTCAAATTGTACACGATTGGCGCCAGACAGTGTTGCAAAATGCAACTTCAACTGAGAGAGCGAGAGAACGAGCGCGAGTGCAGCAGAGAAGTGGATAAAGCTGCTTGGTACATGGTCAGTTATTCAATTGAATCGTGAACTTGGCTTAAATTTAACCAATTTAATGTTTTAATTTAATTTTAATAATTAATTTAAACTACATACACAAATAGCCACAATTATGCAGTCAGTTAAACGGTTTTTAAATTTGTTCTCATGTGCTGCTGGAGAGTATCGATATGCGTATCGATACCCGCTCTCAGTCGACGCATGAAAATACGAGCGTGCATGTATTGTGCTCTCACTTGCTCTCCACTCATGCTCACACAATTCCAACGCCTGCTATAGCGCTTCTCTCGTCAGTCTCTATTTGATTTTCGTCGCGTGAGGTTGGTTGCGCGCGTCAACTGTGCAAAGTGCATGGAATTGTTGTGTAAAAAACGCGCTTAAATTGAAAGAAATGTTAATGCAATGCACTCAAATTATAAAATATAAATTATAGCATGTGTTTGGCTGTAGCAAGAGCTATTGATTTAATTCACAAATCGAGTGCAGAGCATGAATTGAGAAATAATAAAATTCGCAACGCAAGCCTGCGGCCAGACGACGCAAACGTTAGTTAGAGCGAGACAACAATACTGTCTGCGCAATTTGTTGATGCCGTTTTTGTTGTTGCCTGGCGCCTATTCCCATATGTAGTTGTTGTTGTTCTTGTGCTGGATGTGCGTGTGTTTTGTTTGTGAAAGAACCAAAAAAAAAAAAGTGCACAGCCAAAAAATAAAAACGCATAAATTGAATTTGTTATTGTTGCAGCCGGCAAAACAAACACACAAATTGCAGCAGCGCCAAGTTGAATGAATAAAACGAAAGCGAAAAACGAAAAACGAAACCAAGCCATAAAATTCGGCGAATACACAACAAAAGTAAAGAGTAAAGGGAGCGCATAATAATAATAATAAGAATAATAATAATAAGTGTGTGTAGAAGGAATGCGTAGAATTTGTAGAATGTTTGTGCAAAAGTGACAACGAAAAGGAAACCAAAAGAAAACGAAACCAAAGCCAAAGCCCGTTAAAATGCAGCAGAATAAAAACAAAAACTAAAACGGAACAAAAACCGTTACCATTCAATTTAAAGCAAAAGTCTACACAAAAAAAAAAGGAAAAAATCAAAGAAACGGTTTCAATTAAAATGTCAACAAAAATGGCCAAAACACACGGATTTAACTGGATGTGGCTGTGGATTTGGTTCGGATTCCCTCTGCTGCTGCAGCTGGCAACAGTTTCGCAAGCGAGTCAAGGTAAGCGAATCGATTACGAATACGAATACTTATCTTTAATGTACAGTTAGCCCTAACCTTATCATCAGGCTCAGGTGACAGATTGTCTGGCTGGCCGACGTGCAAACGGGCAGGTTTTTCATTTTTTTGCAAAACTATTATTTGCCAAATTAGTTTATTTTATGTCAATAGATGATAAGCCCCAACTTTAATCATACCAAACCCTTTCGATAATAACGTTTTACATATTAGCCTTTGCCTCATGCCCAACAATTGACGCAATTCGGGAACTTTTTGCAATCACGAATCACACGATTTTTAGCCATATGCTAGTCATACATTATCGAGCTGTTCGCGATAATTAAAGTGATGTAGAGCACTCTATAGATAAGACAAGGACGTTGCAAATTACAGTAGCTGCTCGATAATTGAAACTGATATCAAAGAAAATTACAAGCTATAAGAGCTTTACATAAAATAGGTCGAGCAATAATGCAAAATTGGGTTTAATGGGTTTGAATTGTCGATAAACTAGAATAATTGCCACCAATTCGGAGTATTCGGAGAACAATTTCGGAGTATTTTTAAAAAGAAACTATGAATATAGATTCGACAATTTTTAATTAATGATAATCTAAAATAATTACTGACTGACAATTCGGAGTATTCGGAGAACTATTTCGGAGTATTTTTGAAAACAAACTATCGATATGGATAGGTGCGCATAAAAGAGGGGTATTGAAATACGACCCGCTCTCAAAAGGAGCCATTTGTTGATTACTTAAGGAAAATCAACTTTATTATCTTTTTTTTTGGCCTTCGAGCATTTTTTTTAATGAGTTCCGTTCGAGTCATTCGTGTATTTGAGACGCACATTTGTGTGTGTTGTGTTATCCAAGAATGTGCAAAATGTTTAAATATGTGGCTCATTTTTATTTACAAGCCATCAACTCGAAACGCATCAGTTTCGATAAACGCGTAGGCTACTCGACTTTTGGATACCCTTTTCCAAGCTTTCCAGCTGAAACTTCTAGAAATTCGTGTTCTTGTTGGGCAAACATAGTTGAATCTAATAAAGTCTCACTGAAAAACAAAAGAACTCGACTAGTGGATACCCTGTACACATTTTACCCTATATCAACTTTTTCAACTGAACATCCTTAGAATTCTTAGATAAACGAGTCGAATATGTCTTTCTACAAAGCAAAAATAGTTGAATGTGATATATACGCAAAAGTACTCGACTCGTTGATACCCATTACCATGTTTTCCAACGGAACTTTCTAAGAATTCTTAGATAGATAAGTCGAATATGTCCTTTTACAGGTCTTACATAGTTGGATTTGATGTAGACGCTTTCAAAAACGTTAGAACTTGACTTGTGGATACCCTATACAACATTTTCTTTCTGTATTGCGCTCTTGTAAGCACTCAGCGAAATAAGTAGACTCTCTATTTTACAGTCTCGTACTGGGCATAAATACCTGAATACGACGCTTAAACAAAATGAATTCCCATAAACAACAAGTGTCTTGCTAAGGCACAGGTAGGCAGAAACAGGTCAAATATCCGCATTGTTGTCAGGTGAAACGCATTAACTGATTAATTTTCCACAGGCAAGAGCTCGCGTAATTCAATTTTAGCTCGGTATCTGGAAATATACATCAGCTCCTTAAATCCACACAAAATGCGCAAATAATGCAAACAAATTAAATGCCCGTCTACCAAATTCGGGGATATAAAAATTGCCGTCAACTCCCTTAAACAATGCACGGCTTAAGTTCGTGGGGTGCCTGGCATTTATCACTGCCAGCCCAAAAAATGAACATCCCCGAAAAGTGGGAAAAGTGGAAAAAGTCAGGGTCTTGTCTAAACAAGAAAAACAAAATGATAAGCTGTTCCCGTTGCTGGCGTGTGCTTTATCGGACAACTTTCGGCTAAAATACATATGCAAATTGCGTGTTACGGGATGTCAGTATTTGGGTCAAACTCCAAAGTCCAGGGGTTAAGGTTTGTCCAGAGTTGAAAAACTAGCCAAGCGCCCGACTTAACTGAAAGTGAAATTTATCATAGCTAAAGCCAGACATTGACTTATAATACCATATTTTTTATAAACTAAAGCAGGACAACAGAAAAGGACAGTTTGCACAAAACTAGTCTTCGATGAGCTAGGTTTAGATTAAACAAGTAAGATTAATTTACTGTAATTAATTTAATTGCAGAATAAGTCGAGAAGAGCTCAAAACAAGCTGTTAGGAAATCGTCCAGAAATTGATTCACAATAATGTATAAATAATAATTAAAAGACGTTCAAAATTGGGAGTTCAGTAGAAAATATTAAGCTCAGCTCCAAAAGAGAAGATTAAAGCTGCAAATGAATCAAATGAAATAAAATTGATTGAAGTTAAAAATTAATTGTTATAGGAAACAATTGAATTTATTAAAAAAATATAAATTTAAAACAGTTGATAAAATAAAGTACAGAATTAATCTATTTTAGATTGTGTACTGTAGTCCTCCAGATAGAAGCAAAGTAAATGCAACATTTACTTCCAATTTGTGGCAGTGTATTACAAAATGAAAAGGACATGGAAGGCTGCTCTAAACATAACTTTGGCACGCATTTCTGGCCTGTCTTTTGTAAGTCAGCGCCAATTGTTGGGCACAGGTTGGCTTTAATAATACAAAATACGCTGGCTCAAAGCGTTGATTACACACACACTGGCACACATACAGACGCGCTTAATTAATGGCCAGGCCAGTAATTAAAAAAATCTTAGTACCACACAGCAGCAACAATGATGAGCTGGGTGCAGCCCGCAAGCAAAGCCGAGTAAATTTACGTGCTCCGCTCCTGTTACCATTTGCCATAAAAGGAATCCCTTCTGCTCCTTTTTTCACATTTTACTTTTAATGGTCATAATTCTTTGTTTAGTGCCTGCCCCCGTGAACTGTGACAATTGTTTTCGTGCCCACGCTTTGTGCTGGCATATCCTGTGCGAATCCTGGCCAGCTACAGACCAGACCAGACCCAGCCCGACCCTATCCGACTCGACCGCCAGCATATTTGGCCGCATTACGTGTTATACGATATGAGTGACATGTTATTCTAATTTCACACCCCTTTTTGAAGGGTGCGCTGTCGCCGTCATAAAACATTTCCATATGGTTCGGGGCCTTCGGGCAGTGTCGCAATGTGTACACAATGTACATAAATAAGCAGCCGGAGAAAGAGAGTGAAACTGGGAAGTGGAGAGGCGACGCAGCGCGCCCGGAATGAGGTCATTTCTTTCGTTTCGAGTCTGACGACGTCTCCCAACTAATTACAGCCGTTTGCCAAGTGTCTCGAGGCCCGGAAATTCGCCAGACCAGGCTAACAGTTGGCTCCTGTCGTTCAATTCCTTTACCGTTCTGTCAATTTTCAATCAGTGCAAACAAAATGACATGGCCAGCTCGTGCTGTGTGCACCCTTGAGGTGCAAAAAGGGCTCAGAAGTGAATCGAAGTCTTTGTCGTCGGTTTGTGCCATGTTTTGCTACGGATGCACATTGTCTGCCTGAGCTGTTGCTTGTGTACTCTTCGCTTGGCTCTGGCTTTGACATTGTTCAAGGTTGCACTTTGCAAAATACGTTCCTCATCGACTCAATCCTCAATCATGTTTGCCCATAGATAAAGGAAAACCTGTCGAGAGAAGACAAGAAAACGAATAAGTGAGCTGCCCTGAGACGTCCAATCAGAGTTCGACTTCGCTGTGATGCGAATAATTAAACAATTATAGAAGACATGTACAGGTTTTTTGCTAAACTTTTATTGAATTGGAGTTATATGAATAGCTCTTTATGCATAGCTATTAACAAAAGAAAATGTGAGTTGAGAAGAAACCATTTTCTGGTACATATATGTTCTATATCAATCAAGTAAAAAGATAGCTTAACAAAAAAATTAATTTGCATTTTGTTTTAATCACATCTTATAAGGAGAAAATCCTGCATAAGCTTACCGAACTCTTCGTTCTGTTAACGTAAGCTCCTGTTACCATCAATTCTGTTAGATAACAGACGTGTAACATTTTATCAAAACAAATGCTAACAAATGTTAACATTTTGGGTTAATTTACATAAAATCTCAATGCACAAATGTTAATATTTGCTTATCTTAGAAAGGTGTGTGTGTGTGTGAAAATGTAATTTTTTTTTTTTCACATATGACTAATTAGGTTTGCCTTCAAAGGGGAAATTGTTATGGATTGTCATTAGCGCCCCAGCTGTGCATAAAAATGAAAATTCAAATAAAATGCAATGGCAAAAATGAATTTTAATTTGCGCAGCACATAAATTATTCACACGAAAAGCAATGAAGGCATTTTCGACATGTCATGTCGTTATTTCTTTACCTTTTTCTTTTTAATTTTATTTTGTTTTTTCGAGGCATTTTTATGGTCTGACCACAGCAAGAACAAAATTGGTTGTTGGGAAGTGGCAGCAACATTTCTCAAAAATGAGCGAAAACAACAGCAACCGAGTTTTTGAGAGACTCTCCATCTCTCTCACTCTCTTTCTCACTCTCTCTCTGTCTCTGTCTCTTTCTCTCTGACGCCCTCGCCTGTGCAGCAAATGCAATTTGGGCCGAGCTGTTTTTCGTTTTAACCAATTCCAAAAGACAACATGAATAATTCACAACAAAAACAACAACAAAACATCAGCAGGAGAAATCCCAAAACACAAAATCCGAATCGAGGTTCTTGCTTGATGCGGCTGCCTTCGCCTCTGCCTCTGCCACTGCCACTGCCTCTGCTGCTGCAGTTGCAGTTCAACGCACCCGAATTCCCCGCAGAACAGCAACAAGAACAACACCTACAACAACAAGAACAACAACAACAACAACAACAACAAGCAACTGCCATATCTGGTCAGAGCTGTTCTCGGGTCCTGATCTCAAGGCAAAGCAAGCCCCCGAAAGCAGCCACAGGCTAAATGAATGGCAACAGGAAATCGCATAAAATGCACTTTATTTTCATTTGCA